AATAAACTAAGACAGACCCTAAGGTTAAGGAAATCAAGTCACTGATGGGTTGAGGGTTCAGGGCTTGGCTGGCAAATTTCTAAATTACTGTGGCCAAACTCCCTAAAAATAGGAGCTTTCAATTCTGTTATACAACCCAGATGACAATAACTCCTTCTGGACAGCCAGCCAATACAGACATTCTTTTTTTTTTTTTTTGAGACAGAGTTTCACTCGTTACTCAGGCTGGAGTGCAATGGCGCGATCTCGGCTCACTGCAACCTCCGCCTCCTGGGTTCAGGCAATTCTCCTGCCTTAGCCTCCTGCATAGATGGGACTACAGACACGCGCCACCATGCCCAGCTAATTTTTGTATTTTTAGTAGAGATGGGGTTTCACCATGTTGACCAGGATGGTCTCGATCTCTTGACCTCGTGATCCACCCGCCTCGGCCTTCCAAAGTGCTGGGATTATAGGTGTGAGCCACCGCGCCCGGCCTTTTTTTTTTTTTTTTTTAAGAGTCTCTCTCTGTCACCAGGCTGGAGTGCAGTGGTGCCATCTTGGCTCACCGCAACCTCCACCTCTCGTGTTCAATCAACTCTCCTGCCTTAGCCTCCCAAGTAGCTGCAATTACAGGTGTCTATCACCACGCCCAGGGCTAATTTTTGTATTTTTTTTTTTTTTTTTGCTTAGCCTCCCAAGTAGCTGGGATTACAGGTGTCTACCACCACACCTGGCTAATTTTTGTTTTATATATATATATAGAAACCAGGTTTCACAATATTGGTCAGGCTGGTCTTGAACTCCTGACCTTGTGATCTGCCCACATAGGCCTCCCAAAAATGCTGGGATTACAGGCATGAGCCACTGTGCCTGGCCACAAACATTCTTTTCTGATGAGCTACTACAGACCTTAGGGCAGCTTCAGCCATCTTACAGAGGCAGCACGCAATCTGTCTTTGTGGCTTGTAGTTCACCTTCTGACATCAAGAGCCAAATTCCACCTCATTTTAATGCTAAAGCCACAACACAAAGTGAACACGATGTATGTTACATATCTGTGTACCCATTACACATATGTGCGCCTCCCCTCTCAAGTATGTATCGCTTTTCCCTCAAACCTGCTGATTATGTATGATAGAGGCCCTGTGAGGCCTAAAACCCAACCTGTTCTTTGAAGAGATAACACCTTCAGTCGACACAGGAGACTTTCTCTTTCAGGCTTGCAAACTGGTATCTCCATTAAGCTTTCCTTTCTACCATTCAGCCATCCTGGTGGTCTTTTGAACACCACCTTCTACAGGGATAATTGTGCATAGTGGGCTAAGTCATTAGTCTTTTATTTATTAAAATGAGGAAAGTTAGAAGGTTATATTTCCATTCAAAAAGCTGACTTAAAAGTAACAAATGATTCTGCAGAGGCTGAGAAATAAACTGATATAAACGCAAACACTGAAAATGTGAATTAACAGCAGGGCAAGGGCTTTTTAAAGCAGACAGAATTGATAAGTAAGCTGCATGGAACAGCAGTGCCCACAGGGTATTTCAATTTCTAAAGCTTTGGGGCAGACAGGGTGTTCAGAGTCCTCGAACACGTTCAGTTATGCAGTGCAAAGTGATGAAGGAATCTGTGTTCAAGGCAGAGTCAGCAGCATAAGGGTCACAACTTTTTACTGAATTTTTTGTTTCCAGTTACTTTGCGGTTGGTCACATCTTTAGACAAATCAATTAACGTATCCAATCTGTGTTTATTTAGAACCCAGGGATGAGAAATGAGCATGGCTTATTTGGGCTAAAGGAAGCATACGTGGAGTGAGATTTTTCCAGTATCATGCACTGAGCTACATACCACCTTCATATCAGCTTGCAGTACTCCTTAAATGTAGGTATCATTATCTTTATTCTATAGAGGAGAAAACTTAGGCTCAATGAGGTAATGAGGTTGGTTCCAGGTTACTTAGCAAATAAGTTATAGAGCCAGGATTTGAGTCTAGGGAGAGTGCTATAGACAATTTGGACTTTTTTTTTTTGAGACCGAGTCTTGCTCTGTTGCCTGGGCTGGAGTGCAGTGGCACAATCTCGGCTCACTGCAACCTCTGCCTCCTGGGTTCAAGCGATTCTCCTGCCTCAGCCTCCTGAGTAGCTGGGATTACAGGCATACACCACCATGCCTGTTTAATTTTGTATTTTTAGTAGAGATGAGGTTTCTCCATGTTAGTCAGGCTGGTCTCAAACTCCTGACCTCAGGTGATCAGGTGATCCGCCCACTTCAGCCTCCCAAAGTGCTGGGATTACAGGTGTGAGCCACTGTGCTTGGCCTTGCTTTTTTTTGAGAAGAAGTCTCACTCTATTGCCTAGGCTGGAGTGCAGTGGCACTATTTTGGCTCACTGCATCCTCCGCCTCCTGGGTTCAAGCAATTCTCTGCCTCAGCCTCCTGAGTAGCTGGGATTACAGGTACACGCCACCACCTCTGGCTGATTTTTTGTATTTTTAGTTGAGACAGGGTTTCACCATCTTGGCCAGGGTGGTCTTGAACTCCTGACACCTGCTTTTGCCTCCCAAAGTTCTGGATTATAGGTGAGAGCCACTGTAGCCAGCCAATTTGGACTTTATTGTATGGACAACTTGTAATTATGTACATTTATATACTCCTTTTAGGTTTTTTGTTTGTTTTTTAGGCTGAGTTTTGCTCTTGTAGCCCAGGCTGGAGTGCAGTGGCATGATCTCAGCTCACTGCAACCGCTGCCTCCCAGGTTCAAGCAATTCTCCTGCCTCAGCCTCCCAATTAGTTGGGATTACAGGCCCTGCCACCATGCCTGGTTAATTTTTTGTATTTTTAGAGAGACAAGGTTTCACCATGTTAGCCAGGCTGGTCTCGAACTCCTGACCTCGGGTGATCTGCCTGTCTCGGCCTCCCAAAGTGCTGGGATTACAGCCACAAGCTACCACACACAGCCATCTTTTATGTTTTTGAACTCAGAAATGCCCTGATGAAAATGGATGGACGGAAGAGCTCTCTGGTGGCATTATTCAGAACTCATAGAGATAGGAAAGAACTGAGTGCAAAGAAATGAAGTAGAAGGTTGTGGCAGCAATCCAGGCCCTGGAGATGGGAGTGAGCAGAGTGTAACACTAGGAAACCTGATTCTAGCCTCTGCCCGATGCTGCTACTGGGGAAGCTCGGACAAGTTACAGCCACCTCTCTGAAGCTTTGTTACTTCGGAGGGGAGAAAAAAACAGGAGTAATTTGCTGTTATTATTATTATTTTTTCTAGTTTCTGAAACTAGAAACTAGTGCCACAGGGTATTTCAATTTCTAAAGCTTTGGGGCAGACAGGGTGTTCAGAGTCCTCAAACACATTCAGTTGTGCAGTGCAAAGTGATGAAGGAATCTGTGTTCGAGCCAGAGTCAGCAGCATAAGGGTCACAACTTTTTCCTTAAAGAAACTAGAAAACCTCTAGGTTCTTTCAAACTCCAAATCATACCTATAAATCGTAATGCATTCTAAAGATTTAGATAAGAAGACCCTAAACATCATTCTGGAGTCTAGGAGATAATTCAGATGTTCAGATGTAATAATTCTCAACATTATCTTCCCAAAGTACAAAGGAATAGAAATGGCTTTAAGAATGGTCTCTAAACCAGATTACGTTGAGACAAGCCTATCATTTCTGCATCACTGTTTTCTTTGTTTAAGAAAATGATTTGGGTATTGCTGCAGCAGCAGTGGTTGATTATATTAAAATCGAATGAAAATATTACTCTTGAAACAAATGAAATGATTTAAACCCATCTCTCTAAGAAATCTCATGAAAATATACCTAGGAGGCACACATTGTATTTTCATCAAATTAATTTGTTTTCTAAGTTCAAATTTAATTTAAAATGAGGTATTTCTTCAACTGGTTCAATCAACAGACAGAAGAGGGATTCTACGTAGAGAACACAGGAAATAAACACTGTAATAATACTGGAGCACACAATTGACACCATAGTTGTCTTCTGTTGCTTGTGATGCTTCTAGAAAGTATTTTTTAAATGCTTCCTGATGAATTGGCTCTTCTTGGTGTGAAGCCAGGCTCATCTCTGGCTCACATCTGCAAACTTTTCCCCATCCTCACATCCTATAACAAATCCATCTTCAAGACCTACAAAGTTCTTGGTCTCAGCGTTTCTCAGAACAGACCCTTCTTCATTCTCACAGACATGGGGTTGGGGATCCCATTCCTGGGTTGCTGAAATGACCTTCTCCTTAGAATGACCCACGGGGCAAAGGCATCTTCTTGAAATAAAGCTTTCATCAAGTCATTTCTGCTATTAAAACCTCCGAGGATCCCAATGCTTATAGGATCCAATCTAAATGCTGCAGCTGAGATCCCCATTGTCTCAGTGGGCAAATGCATTACACTTCTTTACAGACTCTAAACTTCCACATTCGAGATTTGGCTACTTGGAATGTTTTGCCCTTTCTCTCTTGCCAACTCATGGCCATCAATCAGCATCTCCAATTCTGTTTTGAAACTCACTTTCTTACTTATGTTTTCCTTGTTTAGCATCTACTTAGTAGATATTAAATAGCAAAATAGATACTAAACAGCAAAGTATATAGTAGATACTCAAGTCGCAAATAATTCCCGTTTTTGAGCTTTTAATCACATTAAGTGCTTTTAAGATAAACTATCCAAATCTGGGGATAAACAACTCACAGAGATTTTCAATCTTTAAGAAACCACCCAGAGTGATTTTACTTTATGTGAAACAGCACTCAAGAATTTTCAGTTGTCTGTCTTTCGCTAGGAATCCACTCCAGAATCAGAGCAAAACGACTCCGTATGGTGACCTCTAGTGGGCACCGGACAATCCTACAAAATTATGAAAAGTGGAGGGCGAAGAAAAACCCTTCCCTTAAACCAGCCAGGTTACCCTGTGGTCAGATGACCTTATCTCACCCTACCCCACCCTTATTTTTTTTCTTCTACTATTTGTTTTGCATCTAACACAGTTCGCCTTACAACTCACCTGTCTCGCCTCCAGCGGGCTGGGCTACCGGTGTCGGGTGTCAGGTGAATAAATTGCTGGTGGCAGTTTAAAATAATCCCTGCTAAGTGGAACCCACTCCCTGGGCACGGACAAGAGCGCGGGGTAGATCGCTCTGCGGGGCGTTCAGGGGCTCTTCCAGCTCCGAGAGTCGGTGCTGCAGCCGGGTCAGGGGTGCGCGGGGGGAAAGCAAGATATTTTGGAAAGGAGGATGCAGACGAAGGCCATGAGAAAGGCTTTTTGCCGGTGACACGGCTTTCCTCCCCAGACTTTGATCCCACTCTAAGGGCAGCGCCTCGAGAGGGTGCAGGTGCGCTACATGTAGCCGCCTTCTCGCGCCCCGCGCCCCAGAACGCGGGGGCCGGGTCCGGGTCGGGGGCCGATCCCCTCCGCTGGCGGGCTGGCGGCACCGAGGCTGGGGGCTGGGGCGTGCGGCCGCCTTCGGAGCACGCGGTACGTGGGTCGCCCCGCGCGACGGGAGGAAGAGCAAAGTAGGCAGGAAAAGCCGTGGCTGGGATGCGTTCCCTGAGAAATCCTCAGGGGCGATCCCAGAACCCGAGCTGGGCTCCGGACAGTTTCTGGAAAAAGCTCTCCAAACGCCGTCTGTCACCGTATCTAAGTCCACACTGGCTTTGAACCAGGGCTGTGAAAAGGGCTCTTGGGGACTGTCCAAGTCACCCCGATGGCCCGGGGAGGGAGGTGAAAACAGGCATCCCAGTCCTGGGGCTCTCCGCTCCACCGCCCTGCGGACCCCTCCCAGCCACTGAGGGCTGGAGCGGAGCGGGAGGACGGCGTCACGAGGCGGGGAGCCCGAGGTCCAGGGCGGGGCGCCGGGGAATCCCAGCCCGAGCAAGCCGGGGAGGTGCGGGCGCGGGCGGCAAGCGGAGGGCGGCGCGGAGGGAGGTGAGCGGCGCGCGCGGAGCTGGCGGGCGAGGAGGAGGACCCCACAGAGGCCCCGCCCCCGCGGCCGCGAGCCGGCTCCTCGCCGCCTCCGAACCCGCTCACTTTGCCTCTCGCCTCTGGACGGCGGCGGGGCGGTCGGCGGATCCGCGGCCGCAGGAAGCGCCGGAGACCGGCAGCCATCCCGCCCCGGCGCCTCCTCTCGGCGCCGGCACCCCTCCGGGGGTCGGCGCCGCCGCCTGGGAGAGGGCACCCCAGCCTCAGAGTGGGCAGCTCCCGGACCCGAGGGGCGGCGGCGCGGACACAGCGGCGTTCCCAGCCAGTGGGGCGCAGCGCTGGCGCCCGCGGGGACTCCCCGGCCACCGGCAGGTACCGCCGGGCGGAGGACGCGCCGCTAGCAGCGCCGCTGGGCAACCCGAGACACGAGAGCGCAGGAACCCCCGGGCCAGCGGAGGGCAGGAGCGGAGCCCCTGAGGGAGCGCGGGCCCCGACGGCGCGCTCCCTCGTCGGCCACGGGCAGGTAGGCCCCGCGTGGCGGCCGGAGGGGGGCTGCAGCGGGGCCCTCGGGCCGAAGGTCCCCCGGGCGGCCAGCCATGACCTTCGGGCGCAGCGGGGCGGCCTCGGTGGTGCTGAACGTGGGCGGCGCCCGGTACTCGCTGTCCCGGGAGCTGCTGAAGGACTTCCCGCTGCGCCGCGTGAGCCGGTTGCACGGCTGCCGTTCCGAGCGCGACGTGCTCGAGGTGTGCGACGACTACGACCGCGAGCGCAACGAGTACTTCTTCGACCGGCACTCGGAGGCCTTTGGCTTCATCTTGCTCTACGTGCGCGGCCACGGCAAGCTGCGCTTCGCGCCGCGGATGTGCGAGCTCTCCTTCTACAACGAGATGATCTACTGGGGCCTGGAGGGCGCGCACCTCGAGTACTGCTGCCAGCGCCGCCTCGACGACCGCATGTCCGACACCTACACCTTCTACTCTGCGGACGAGCCGGGCGTGCTGGGCCGCGACGAGGCGCGTCCCGGCGGGGCCGAGGCGGCTCCCTCCAGGCGCTGGCTGGAGCGCATGCGGCGGACCTTCGAGGAGCCCACGTCGTCGCTGGCCGCGCAGATCCTGGCCAGCGTGTCGGTGGTGTTCGTGATCGTGTCCATGGTGGTGCTGTGCGCCAGCACGCTGCCCGACTGGCGCAACGCGGCCGCCGACAACCGCAGCCTGGATGACCGGAGCAGGTACTCCGCCGTCCCTGGGAGGGAGCCCTCCGGGTAGGACGCACTGCTTCTCTGCCCGTCCCGTCCGTCCTGTCGCGTCTGTCCGTGCCGTCCGTCCGTCCGTCCGTCCCGTCTCCAGTCCTGTCCACCTCCGGGCGGCCGAGCCGGCTGCGTGCTCGGCCCAGCGAGGGCCCAGCGCGGCCGACACGGGACTGGTCGATCCCCACTCCCGCCCCGATGTCCTGGGCACCAGTGGGATCTGGCCCTTACACTAGACGCACCTTTTGAGGGCGAAATCCCCAGGCATTGGGAGGGGCGTGTAGAGATAGACAAACGTCCCCTCTCCTTTACTTTTGAGCAAAGAGCAACCTGCTAATTAGATTTTTCTGAACTTTGATTGTTAGTGTTCAACAATTAAACCTTGAGCTAAGCGCAGTTTGAATTATTTGCCAATTTTTGGTAGTGTTCAGAAAGGTGAATTCTCGTTATGGTGAAATGTGCACCCTCCACACATTCTGTACACTCTGCCTCCAGCATAATATGTGCGGTAATGGAATTGTTATATTATAAAGGAGGTTAATTTACCGATAGACTCTAAATAATGGATGTCTGTGCCCTTTTCTCTCTCCTTTTCCTACAAAGTATGGAGTTCGAAAAGCTCTTGTCTACCGTTTGGCATCAAAGACTCATACCGCGGCTTTCAGAGGGGCGATAGTATTGGGAAGGGAAAAAAAAAAACATTACCTTGAGAGCAGAGAAAAATCTAAACTGTCCTAAATCCAGAAACAGTATTTGGGTAGTTAATTTTTTTTTTCACTTTACTAAGATGAATGGAAAAATATTGCAGTCTTTTTTTAGACTGTTTTACCTTTCATTGCTGATAGCACTTTCCTGCTTTTAGTACAAGTGATCATATTCGGTGGGGTGGGAGGAATAAGCAGACTGAGGTTGGACTTTCAAAGGAGACAGCCTTTTGGGGCACAAAACCCAAACTGCATATTATGGTTTATCTGTTTGACACTGTTTTAAGATCCTCCTTCCATTCACTTTTTAAATTTGAGGTTGTGCCCTTTCATCTTTTCCTGATAGGCATGCACATGTTCAGAATGGCGGTCTTGCTGTAGCAGTACACTACTGCTACATAATATTCTTCCTGTAGGGAGTAAGGGTTTTTATACAAATCCGAGGAGTAAATAAAATTGTCTAGTGCCACGGAGTCTATTATTCCTTCTTGGGGTGAAATCCAAGATACATGCTTTGAAAGGAAATTCGTTAGGAAACTCATTTTGTTTAGTGAATTAGGTTCTAACAGTTTTAAATTTACAGATAAGAATTACTTATTTGGTACTCCAACAATACAATGAAGTTAATTTATTTACCTAAATACATAAATGCTCTTGATTTTCCTTTTTTAAGGAGGGCTTTAGGAAAATGGCCTTGAAATTCTGATTCTCTAGTAAATGTAGATTCTAAGGTTGGTGAAGGTTTGAGCTACATTAGCAAAGGAAACAGGAGAATTGAGTTATTAGTACAGATAACGAGGGAGTTGACTGAACCAGTATATGAGCAAAACCAGTAAAATGCCTCAAATATAATCTTGGGGGAGGGATGGTCTTTTGGGAGAGGGAAAGGGCCATGTGAAGATCATTAAAGCATTTGTAAAGAAATGAGAGAAATGAATAGTAATTTTAGGGAGAGAAACAAAAAACAAAAAAGAGAAGCCACAGAGATGAAAAACAGGGAGACTGCAAAAGAAGTGAAGGGAGAAAAGAAAAGTAATGCTTATTTGTGTATATGTATTTTATATATGTGTATAATTATTCCAGTCAGAGCTGTTTCCTAGATACTTAGATATTTCAGGCAAAAACATGTTTTTCTTGGCTTAATGGCCCAGTTTTTAGCCTCACTCTCTGAGTGTAGGTATATGAAAACCAGTATCTGCAATCCCAAACAGATAAACTGCAGGAGAGCCGAACGAGGGTGCTGCACATTGCAGAGGAAGCTCCCTCTGCCCTTCCACAGAGAGGGCCCTTACGTTGTCACTTTAAGTATAGTCGCTCAAACGCTGTTTGCTTGTGGTTGCTGAAATTAGTCTTTCCAAAACATCATTCTCATTATTTGACCATATTTCACATCTGCCAAATAAAGTCAAAACTTCTTTCTTGGCCTTCAAGGCACTTTACGGTTTGACGACAACCTACCATTCTTGATTTATTCCATCTTAATTTGCAAACATTTTTCGGCTATCTGCTATGTTCGAGGCACTGCTGGTGTTCCAAATATTGTAACCTTCTGTTGTAAGGAAAAGCTGGTGTCAAGTTGGTGGTGTAGGAATCAAAGGCAGAATTGATCTCTGAGAGTTCAGTTGTTCTGAGAAGGCCTTCAAAGTGGTAGAAGATGGAAACAAACCATGGTTGGAAGATTGCAAAGGTTGTGCACTGCCCAAACTAGCAGGGAGTGTCATTTATATAAATTCTAATTAATGCAACCTGCACAGCCATGTGCATCCTGCCTGGGAACAAAATAAAGAGACTTTTTAAGATAAAAGGATCATCATGGGCATGAAACGTGTATATGATGTTGTTTGTGGAAGCTTGAGTCTAATGATGGAGGGAGAGGTGGATAGAGAGCAGATGATAGAAGGCCTTGAATTCCAGGGAGAATAATTTTATTTCATAGGCAGTGGCTAGCCATTGGCCAGTTTTGTGTTTGGGGTAATGGGTTATGCATATAAAGTAGTGCATGTGATGCATGTGTTCATGATTTGGGGAGAGAGAAGACTGTACACAGGAAGATGAATTGGAGATCTTTCCAGAGGGAGGGGATGAGAGCTTGCATACCTTTGTGGTGGTGGAGAAATGGAGGAGAAATGACAGCTCTGGGAAATACTAGGAAGAGTCAAAATTAATCCAGGGCATTGGAAGGGCGAAGTGGACCGTCCAGGAGCTAAGAGTATCCCCTGCCATTAGCAGTCTCCGTTTGTCCAGCCTGGCCTGCTTACTTGTACCTGAGCCACTCAGATGTGCAATGCCTAGCCTGCTGAAATTGGATTATTCATCAAGCCCAACTCAGATTCTATTCCTCTCTTGAAGCATTTACGGATTACCATAGTAGATTGGCGTTTTCTCCTGAACTTCTTGAGGAATTGCTTATTTGTACTATTTATTTGTAGCATTTATTTGGCATCTATGATATCCTTCTTAGCATGGTGGTTATATTTTCATATAATCATGTCCTAGGTCCTAAGCTAGATGAGATAAAAAGCCCTAGAAGGCAGGTAAATTCTCTAATACTATTTCTTATTAAAACATCTTTTATTTTGTATTTTTGTTGATTGATTGATTGAGAAGAGATCTCACTCTGTCTCCCAGACTGGAGTGCGGTGGTGTGATCGTAGCCCCCTCCAGCCTGGAACTCCTGGGCTCAGATGATTCTCCCATCTCAGCCTCTGGAGTAGCTGGGACCACAGACATAAGGCACCACACTCAGTGAATTAAGAACATTTTTGGTAGAGATGGGGTCTTACTATGTTGCCCAGGCCTGTCTTGAACTCTTGGCTTCAAGCAGTCCTCCCACCTTGGCCTCCCAAAGTGTTGAGATTACAGGTGTGAGCCACTGTGTCCAGCTGAAATACTAGGAAGTAATTCTTAGTATTTCCCAAAGTTGTCATTTCTGTCCATTTTTCCACCACCACAAAAATTGCTATTGAGACACCATAAATATCTATTGTTTATGTAACATTTCAAAACATAACCTTCCAGAACTATATCTTCTATTGCACAGTTTAAAAAGCTGTTTGGGGCCGGGCGTAGTGGCTCATGCCTGTAATCCCAGCATATTGGGAGGCCGGTGGATCACCTGAGGTCAGGAGTTCAAGACCAGCCTCTCCAACATGGTGAAACTCTGTCTCTACAAAAATATGAAAATTAGCTGGGCATGATGATGGCTGCCTATAATCCCAGCTACTTGGGAGGCCGAGGTGGGAGAATCACTTGAACCCGGGAGGGGGAGGTTGCAGTGAGCAGAGATGGCACCATTGCACTCCAGCCTGGGTGCAGAGAGACTCATGTTTGGGGTAAAGCAGTGGGCTTCAGTTGCTGGAACTCTCAGTTGAAGCAGACAGAATCCTGTGCTGGAGAAAGAAAAAGGTCTATCAGACTGGGTGTTGTGGCTCATGTGTATATTCTCAGCACTTTGGGAGGCTGAGGTGGGTGGATCACTTGAGGTCAGGAGTTTGAGACCAGCCTGGACAACATGGTGAAATGCTGTCTCTACTAAAAATACAAAAATTAGCTGAGCATGGTGGTGGGCACCTATAATCCCAGCTACTCGGGAGGCTGAGGCACAAAAATTGTTTGAACCCAGGAAGCAGAGGTTGCAGTGAGCCAAGATCGTACCACTGCATTGCAGTTTGGGCGATAGAGTGAGACTCAGTCTCAAAAAAAATAAAGAAAAGAAAAAAGAAAAAGATCTGTCAGGAAACAGCCTGTAGTCCCAGCTACTCAAGAGGCTGAGGTGGGAGGATCACCTGAGCTCAGGAGTTGAAGGCTGCAGTGAGCTATGATTGTGCCATTGCACTCCAACCTAGGCAGCAGGGAGATCCTGTCTCAAAACCAAACAGCAATAAAAAAATCAAGGAACAATTATTTATCAAGTATTTAATGGTACAAAAGGAATAAAGATATGAATATGGTTTATTTCTATTAACCTGAAATTTTGGCACAGTACACAGTCTGAAGTTTGGAAGAAATCTTGAGAGGTCTTCTAAATCAATAATTTAGAACTTTTTGTGTATGAGGATAATCCTTTTAAATTGATTTGTTTTAGATGGTTAATAATCATATAAGAATGGTTCAAAATCTGAAAGCTACAAAACTAAGCCTTTCTTCATTCTCCCAGTCATTCAGTTCTTTTTTCTAGTTGTAACCAAAGGTACTCGTTTTTGATTTGTCATTTCAGAGACGTTTTATGTATCTGTAAGCACATTATATATATTTACAAAAGCCAGAAATCCAGTGTAATACACACTGTCCTGAAACTTGCTTTTTAACTAA